TATTCGTCGTAATTCTCTCGTCAACTCGCGGTGAGACGGAGACTGGTCCACCAAGGTACAGTTCCAGAATAGTGGAGATACAGACTGGAGCAATTAGGGGAATTATTTTAGAGCTGAATTCCAGACATTTGGAACCCGTAGAAGTAAGTGCTACCTAAAATATTACTCATTTGTACCAAACGAGTGTAATGATAAAAATAAAACGCTAAATTCACCACAATACACACAACGATAGGATTACCATTGCTAGATGTATTAGTTATTAGAAATACTGCTAAATGCCTGAAATTTGATATCTATAGAAAAAAATACATGCAGATATATTCCTAATGAGTCATTTCATAGTGTTGAACATAAGATGGGTAGTTTAAATTTCTTAGTTCATAAATTACTCAGTTTTCCACTTACCAACGAAGGATAGGAAATAGAAATGAATTACATTAGGAATATAGCTGAGTGTAATGGATATGCTTTTTCATTAGTGAATAATATAATTAGAAAACGTAGGTATAAGTTTGCGATTTCTGAAAGTTCGACTTTTCAAATGGAGAAAGTTTTACATCTGTAGTAATGTTGTTTGAATATTATGTTTGAATATTATTTTTATTTTTTTGTTCTTTGACATTGTAAACATTTATAAATGTTTATATTAAACAATAAGACTGACAATATTATTTGTATAATTTTTTGTATTATCTTTTGTTTGTTTGTGTACCTTGTTTGTTTACTTTGCTTGTTGAGTTTACCTTTGTCTACAAATTGTAAACTTTTTGGAAAATAAAGGCATTTATTTATTTATTTATTTATAAAATGCGTAACAAATAGTGAAAAAAAACTTCCAAACCTAGATGCATTATTTTTCCTAAACGACCACTTGTGCGGTTTGAAATTTTGATGCAAAATCCGGCAATACCGCATAGAAGAAATGTATCAATTCAAGTTTTATCTCTTTTTAATACATTTGATTTTCTACTAAGCTGTCTTCATCACTGTCTTACTCGTTAAAATCCAGAACTTAATAACTTTATATAATTAGAATTTGTCTGTGTAATAATGCAGATATAAAAAAAATATTTGTACTTAATTGGGAACAAAAGTACGAATCTTATTTGACATTTGTCAAGAGTCAAAGTAAAAAAGTAGCTGTGGCAACATGGCGATGAGCATCCGTCAAATATTGTGATGACGTAGACGCCAACTTTTATTTATTTTTCTATATATTTTTTTTTTCTCCTGGCAGGTCTTTCGTGGTGTACCCTACGCAGCACCCCCTGTAGGTCCGCTGAGATTCCAGCCCCCTCAAGCACCCGTTTCCTGGCCAGGTACCAGGCTAGCTGATACTTTCGGAGCTGTCTGTCCCCAAAAGTACCCAGATATAACAAACAGGACTGCAGCCTTGCAGTTTATGCCCAAAGGGCGCTATCAGTATTTGAAGAAGCTGCTTCCGTTGCTGGCCAATCAGTCAGAGGACTGCCTGTTCCTGAACATATACGTCCCTGGAAGCGGTAAGCCTAGGGATTTTTTATTAAGCCTGGTTGAGACGGTCCAAGTATACTTGGACCAAATATACTTGATCAAGTATACTTGGACTAAATATACTTGGACCAAGTATTGGTCCAAGTCTATTAGGACCTAGTACTAGTCCAAGTTTATTTGGACCAAGTATACTTGCTGCCATTTAAATACACTTATATGGATGTTGCGTGCGTCTCACTTTTGCGCTATTTGTATGGTATCAAAAACAATATCAAAGTCGAGTAGAAAGGTTTCGTAGCATCCAAGTAAGTTGGCAGCTAGCCTACTTGACCAAAACGAAAACTAGCGTTTTTCAATATAATTTTTTTAACAATTTTGATAACTACTGATATTTATTGACAACGTAAAATAAAACAACTAATTATTGAGCCTACCCTACATCAATTTACACGTTTTGAATAAAATTAGAACGGCACTGATAAACCGGAATTTAAGTCGGCCATTTTGGTCCACTTTGCGGTCGACCCAAGACACAAAACGACAAATTATTAGTATATTTTTAGGGAATTTTGAAAAAATATTTTTACTGATGTCCTCTTATTTCAAGTAATTTAAAAATGCATGCAAATTGTCCATTATGGTGTATATTTTTTTCATAATAACCAATTACAGTTTAAATATATCGATTTAAAGAAGATAGGTTTTTTCTCTTTAAAAAAATCTGAAATTATTCGCTTACATCCCTTTTGCAATTTATCATCGGACCTAAGGAAAAATAGGTAAAGAAAGGTTTTCCTGGAAGAAATGGCGGATATTTTGAGTTTTATTCTGAAGAAAACGTACGTCCGGAGTGACAAATGGTTCCGTGCAGACACAGGTCTTAAGGGATGCGACATTAGTAGAGTAAAGTCGCCCTTAGATATTGCTCTCCTAGAAAACCGAGCCCGCAAAAAAATGACACACTCGAGGTCTGGCAGATTGCTTTTTTATTTTCTCTTTTACTACGCAGGAAAAAAAAATATTATTCTTAAAAAGAAAAAATAAAGTAGTCTAAAATAAGTGTAAAATATTTTCAGGGCTGGTAGATATTGATAAGAATCTAGTATATTTCCTTCCACGTCTCTGTAGCAATGAGCACAGTTTCTCATTTTATTTCATACGTTTGGCAACGTTTTTTACTGTTTTCTCTTTGTTCAGTACATTGTAAACCCATTGTACTCTTATTACATACGGAAATCTCAACCCAAAACTAACCTTTGCCAGCTCTTAGTTTAACCAAGTTAATTGTATTAAATTAAAAAAGTCACTTTGAAATTAGCAAACACATTCAATAAAAATTTTTAAACTGTTTTGACATTCTGTGATTTGGTCCCTATTTGTTTTGAATCTAGTGCCGTGAAATTTTGTCCGAAACATGTGTAACTAATAATTAATTAAGTCCGATAAAACGATAGAGTCAATAGAGCACAGAGCACGGTAAATTCTTCAGCGCTAATTGCATTCACCGGTAAGCGACAAAGTAACCAATTACCGCGTCCAAATAACTGACGGTTAGCTAATTAATCTGCCGCTAACTGGCACCAACAATTCGCCGATATTACTGATAATATTACGGCCAAGATAAATAAACTATAATTAGTTTACAGGTGATTAATCACGTTTAATTAAAGGGGGTGTTAATAGGTCGTAAACTTGTGCTACTGTTTGATATTTTGAACGGGATTATACAGGGCGAGTCCTAAATAAGTGCAAATATTTTCGGGGCTGGTAGATCTCGATGCAAAGATCATATATTTTTTCTTTACCGTTTTCGAATAAGTTCAAAATAACCGAGTTATTCGAAATTTATAACTCTGAGTACTACTAACTGCTACTAATACACAACCTAACCTAACCAATTTGTTTTGTGTAGTCTGTGGTCTGTTTTTGTTTGGATAACGAACAAAACGTTGGTTTTGTTCGTTATTCATATTGGGGATTTATTTTTTAATTAATGTTAACCGTTCGGCAACTCCTAGCATATGTATTTGTTTTACATAATCAAAATTGTCACTCTAAATTTTACATAACCAAATTGCCACTCAAAATCGCTGTCTTTTTTAGACAGATGTCACTTGTTTGGTCATTATTCAATTCATTATTTGAATTCTCAGAATGTGGTTAAAAAAAGTTTCATGTTAAAATAAAATTTTAATCAATCACAATTGTTTATCTCCATCATTTACCGGATTAATAATACACAAATTTCAGCTCAATTACAAACAATTCATTATTTATGGTAATTTATAGTAATTTTATTAAATTATACGAATATTCTCGTTGATTTTTGGTTTGAGATAAATATGACAGTGTCCTCCAATGAAAATGCGAGTTGCTAACTCTAAATTCTAAGTCTGAACTGGCAAATGAGCTAGATGCTTTACGTAGATCGTTTATTTAGAAGCTACAAACCTAAAAATCACCGTTTAAAGTTATTAATTAATTTAAAAAATTTTAGAGACTCTGTATAAGGTAGTATAATTTTTATTATTGTAATACAAAATCTAGTAAATAGAAAAACTTCAGTACAATATTTGGTTTACCAACCAAAAACCAAACCAAAAACTTTAAAGTATTAAAATTGTTACTGCATTTTTACAAAATTGTGAATATTTTAAAAAGAATAAGATTAAAGTGCGATAAACCTTAATTAAATTTACTACTATTTTAATCCGTAGAAACTAAAAATCTAATAATACACAGGATATTCCTTTTAAAAAAATGCAACTTTGATATTTTTTATTTGGGATATTCTGTACCTTTTGAAAATATTTTAAAATTGTAGCTTTAGTAGTCTTCCAACGATTCCATCATTAACACTTTCTAAAAATCTAATCATGGCTACAATTTGGCTACAGTACTCCGTGTCGAATGAAGTGAACAACCCTGTATATGAGATTTACATTACTCATTAAATGCTAGATTACAAATTTTGAAAAACTCACCTGTGGAAGCGTTTCACACAGTGTTATTTTAAGATTTATAAAATTTAAGATTACATAATATACGATGTTATGATTAACCTTTTCTTATTTAAAAATTTACAATTAAAAATTCTTTATATTGAAATACGAAATACTCTTTTTGAGTCTTGGAAGACATTAAAGTCTAATCAATTATAATAATTCAGTATCTGATATTTGGCTTTGACAAACCACTCAATTATACTAGGCGTAAACGTTACAGAATAATCTTTCAAACTAATTATTCTTACACATCTGCAATTCAATCCCCTGGGATTCAATTTCGTTGCTGTTTTGTTCCACTTGTGAACTTCTGTACGGAATTAACTGAAAACCACACATCGGCGCATACCGACACGCTGCTGTTATCTAAGATAATTCTGCTGACCGTAGTTTGGGTGGTAATAAACTAAGAAACATCTGTTACCAAAGTCCGACGCGTGGTAGAGTTTTTGCTTCATGTCCGTGTTGCGAAGTTAACCGTTATTTACTTAAATAATATGCTGGAAATACCGTTGTAAAATTTAACTATACGACTACTGTGGTATTGTAATCATTAAATCGATGGGAGAAAAAATTCAAGGCCGTGTCACACCACGCACTTGAAAGAGAATCCATTCCAAATAGAACAAAGAAGGAGTATAAAAAATACCTTCAGCGGCTGGAACAGAAAAATATTGTAGCAGGAGATGTTGATGAAACTATTCTCTTATAAATTTGTTATATGTAACATTAAATGATGTAAATAAATTAACAGAGTAGTTAGATGAGTGTCCATTTTCATTTTATATTATTATTCATAATTTCTATTGTATTTCATGGTTGTTATCTATAAAAGTTAGAGAGAGAATTGTGGCATCCTAATGTCCTAAAGGGTGTTATGACTCTGGTTAATGTAACCAAGACGATATAAGCTTATATTATTAATTCAGTAAGAAATAAAAGGCTATACCCTGTTTTTTTAATAGTAACGGCTTAGCTACGTTGAAACACCGGTTCCCATTAGAAGTTAAGCGACGTAAGGCGATACTGGTGGATGGACGGGTGACCGGTTCGAAACTGTTTCGTGCTTTTGTTCAAGGGAAAAGTGTGAAATCTATTGATACACACTGCTCATTCACGCCGGTTCGAGGCCGGATGAGATCGGATATCTCGTGAGTTAGAGTTGATTTAGACACTTCCTAAATCCATTTAGTAGTAGGCCTTTGACCATGATATGGCGGAAAACCGCGGTTCGGATTCCGTGTAAACAAAGTAGGCTCCGTCCAGATTAGCCCTGGCAGCAAAAAAGGAGACGTTAACTGAAACTTTACTTTACTTTTATTTTTAATCTATACTAATATATAAAATCCTTAAGTGACTGACACACTGATTAATCACGATCCTGCTCAAACCACTCAACGTAAGAAGCTCAACTTTGGCATACAGGTTGATTCTAGGGTGTAGAGATTCGATAAGAAGGGATTTTTCGAAATTCCAGTTCCAAGGGGGTAAAACGACCCCTCAAATATTACAATATTTTTTATTTAAAAAACTGCCAAGTTTCCGAAAAAACGCTTAAACACGTATTTTTATTTTGCTTTTTACATATTTTAAGATTTTCTAAAAATGTATACAGGATGTTTCGAAAAATCTGGTCAATGATAAATCACGATCCTGCTTAAAGCGCTTGACGTAAAAGCCGATTTTGGAAAACGAATTGACTTTTAGGGTGTAGAGGTTCGATAAGAAGGAGGATTTTTGAAACTCGAATTCTAAGGGGTGAAACCACCCCTCAAATATTAGAATATTTTTTATTTGAAAACCGGTGAGTTTTTGGAAAACTCTTAAACACGTATATTTTATTTTTGTTGTTTTTACATATTTTAAGATTTTCAAAAATTCATACAGGGTGTTTCTTAAAATATGACCATTGAGTAATCACGATTCTGCTTAAACTGCTTGACGTTTAAAGCTGATTTTTGGCAAACGGATTGACTGTGGGGTTGTGATTTTTCGAAATTCCAGTTCCAAGGGGGTCAAACGACCCCTCAAATATTACAATATTTGGTATTTAAAAAACGGTTAGTTTGTCGGGAAAACGCTTGGAAACGCACAATTTATTTTGTTTTTTTACATATTTTGAAATTTTTTAAAAATTCATACAAGGTGTTCCAAA